CAGAAACAGAAACAGAAACAGAAACAGAAAGATGGGGAAAGAGATTACACTAAAGGCTACATAAAAATAAGCACTGCTGTTTATTTTGGATTCTTTTTTTCACTTCCTATGCTACATCTATGTGACATCTGTGTTTTGTTCTTTCTCACTGTGCGTTTCTATACAACAACATTTCTGTGAAGGATTGTGTGTGCACCACTACACATGTCTGGTGACTACCCTGTTAGTAAAATGCATGCCATGCATTTTAAGAGTAACAATAAGCATTATAATACCATAATCATAGTATTCTGCATATGAAAATTAGTGGGGGTGAAGTGCGCTTCAGAACTAAGCACTTACCAATAGATTCTGGAGATTTAAATACGGAGAGAAGAGAGACAGCATAAAAATATTATTATATTCCTTATAATTTGGTACAAAATCTTTCAAGTTAAAGCTTTATATATTAAAGAATCTATGTCACACGTGAAAATTATTTCGAGCTTTACATTAAAAGAGGTTTACTCTACACAATTCTGCTGACAACAAGCATAGAAGTTGGTTAACAAGACGGCTTAACATCACAGGACAGGTCAGAAAGGTACACGTTCTGGGAAACAGGTGATTAATCAACTGATTCCATAGGACTATTCTTTCTGAAGTAAGCAGCTTGTTACATTTCCCATCCCTTATCTTATATGATATATTTTATATGGGAAAAAGCATACAACTTATAAACATTTGTTATATTGTTATGAAGCTGCATAAAGGAGGGTGAGGGATTCCTTCTGGTAGGGAAACGGAAAGAAAAAGAGCTGCTAAAGCTGGACTCTACATGGAAAGCAGGCTTCTGTAGATCCAGATACTGCAATACTAAGGAAGTTTCAGAATCACTACTGTGGCTAGATGCACCATAAAACTTTCAGCCAATTAAGCATAATAGTAATCATCTTCCTCATCCTCATCACCATCATAATCTCTCCTTTCAAAGGATAGCCCAAGGACAGTTATTATCATTGTGGTGGTGGTGTTTTGATTTTTTTTTTTTAATGTTGGTTAAAGATAGTATACAGGAAAAAAAGTAATGTATTTTATGTATAAGTGAATGGTAGGAAGATATGTCCCAACTGGCTAATCTTTGGTGAATTTCAAATGTTGAAAACAATTCATAAAACACAATTGTTATGTAATATTTTAAACATCAAAAATGACAAATTTGGGTTGCATGAGTATAGTCATTGGTACTCCTTGCATGTCCTGAAGTCCAATGTTGATGACAATAATAATAATAATAATAAATGAGAGATAAGGATAGAAGAGAAAATGGATCTGTCAAATACTGCTGAAAAGCAGTAAAGAAAA